GGAAAGCAAAGTTATAGAGGTGGAAGACGGGGAAAGGAAACCGGAAACAGAGGAATTCACAGGATTAATTAAAAACCCTAAAAATATTATTGCTTTCAAAACTCTTTATCTGAAGCAGACAAACAAAATAATATTAGCAGCACAACTAAGTTGTTTTTTTTTTGTCTCTAGTCTAAGAATAAGAGAGCTTATGATCATAACATACAAAATAATCCAAGAGACTTTATTACTCACCTAAATCAGCCAGACGGATAAAAGAAAACATTACTTAAACATAAAGATAGTTAAGAAATTCAATAAACTGGACAATAGCAGCGTGAACGTAAATTACATAAATGAAAGTTGAGAAGTAGACATAGTGAAGCTATTGCATGTCTTGGTTAAAAGTTAGAGGCGGACTAAGAGCTAAAGTTCGCCACCGTAAACTGAAATAAGTAATTACACACATACACTCTCGTCACTATCACCAGCGCTCCAAAAAGCATTCTGATTCGTCGAGCATGGTAAGTGTGTGTTGACAGGGTACATCTGGAGCAAGGTGACAGAGGAAACATGTCTTGCGCATCAACAATTTTAAGTAGCTTATTATGATGGTGTCAAGGGCGGAATGAATGACACTTGCAGCTTAGGGATGACCTCGGGGATACATGCGTGCAGGGGGGATTATTAGAGACAGGGGGAATTTTTAAGATATGGAAAACAAAGGGAGATTGAGATACGAAGCTCCTCGTCTCTCCTCTGTACAGGACTGGTTACCACTTGTGCCCATTATAATATAAGGTAGCGCAAAGACCTTCATCACCCGACAGCAGTTTCCGGCCACTTAAATTACACAAAATAAGTACATCAAATGAAAGAAATTTCAGTGGGGAAAAATGATAACCAAATAGCAAGGGCATGCAATTGTGCATTACACTAATAATCAAAATATGGAAACTAAACAATTACTGGTTAATTTGCTACTCAAGATACTTTGACAATATACTTGGAAAGGTGGCAATATAATGCTTCTGTAATTATTTGTAAAACTGCTCTGAGAAAACGAACACAAAATGTGCCGAGGCAAATATTACTAACGCTTAATTTACTCCACTATAGTGTAATTATAAACCTCCACTTCATCTTGCTGGTACAAACACAGCTTAAGTTCTTGTCTGTGTCCTCTCGCCCTCAAGTCTCTACATCTTCTCAACTCTGGCCAGTTCTTGCCTGGATCTCTCTCTCTATCTCTCTCTCTCTCTCTCTCCCCCTCTCTTTTACTTCACCGTGGCTGAGCCCTTTCTGGCTCACTCTGAATGGCACACACACCCCTCGTCGTAGCATAGCAACAGCAAAACAAGAAAGCATTGTGTCTAGAGACACCTCTTCCCTGGATGAGAGGGTTGGAACGTCAGCAGTTCTTAAAAGCTAACGTGATAAATGCTCCAGTGCTGGCTTGCAACATTATAAATAGATGAAAAAATGGAAACATATACTTGAGACGGTGAGGAAATATAAGTACATGTATTATTAGTCTTTATGAAGAATGTGGGTAAAGCAGCAAGAAAGATGAAAGTAGAGAAAACAGCAGAGTGGAGGATATTAAAGTTAAAATATTGAAAGTAAATGAGAATAAAGTATCGTAATGGTTGGTGTTCTTCAATTTTCGTATTAAGGAGAAGATACTCAGTGACTGACAGAGAGCATATATTATTTCTCTGTAGAAAGGGGATGGAAAGTGTGCAAGAGAAATTAAGTCTGTTGAGATTACAAGTTATCATGTGGCAAAATTATGAACTGCTAATGAGTGGAAAGACAAAGTATTACCGCTGAGGAACAGAACAAATTTTACGTTTGGATGAAATGTTTGCAGTGAAGCACCTAAGTTAAGAGTATTTAGATGCAAAAAATAAGCTGTATGCATTTAGGGATTTAGGAGATGGGAAGTACAGTGCCTGCACTCTGAAGGAGGGGTGTTAATGTTGCAGTTTAAAAACTGTAGTGTAAAGCACCCTTCTGGCAAGACAGTGATGGAGTGAATGATGGTGAAAGTTTTTCTTTTTCGGGCCACCCTGCCTTGGTGGGAATCGGCCGGTGTGATAATAAAAAAAAAAAAAAAATATGACAAGGTGGACTGGAGAGTGATTACGCAGTTTTGCAAACATGGAGGCTTTACGAATCTTTTATAAGAAAAATGAGACCGGTTAACAAGTGAAAAGTGGAATGTTTCTCGATAAGAAAGGGTATTATATAACGATTTCTGACATCGATGAAGCTACTTAATGTGTATATTACAGGGATGTAAGAGAGGTGAATGTTACTGTGCTTGGGAGAGTTGCGAACCTAAGCATTTGTGAATCTGACATCTTTACTTGATGAATACGGAAACCTTTGCAAGGAAAACAAAGCCAAGACGATGCAAAAGTTACGACTTCAATAACATCCGATACCGTGATACCGAATTGATTTCAGCTGATCTGCAGCGTAGTCTAGTCTCATTCCGGAACTGTTCAAACCGGCTGAACCTTTTTGATGATGTTTGTGATGAGGTTCCAGTAATCTCTGATAGATATGAGAATATGTCAGCTAGAGCACATGAGGCAATTATGAGAAATACAAACAAGGCTTCCCTGTGGTTGTACTACGGGTGGTATAACAAGATAGATCCTGATGAGAGTTTGCTTTCTCACGATGAAGCTGTTATTACCATTATTAGTTACCTGTCAAAAGCCATAGATGGAATGTAAGAAAATTATCACCATTCTTAGTAATGACACTGATGTATTTATATTACTGATGTTCTAGGACTATAAAAAAATCTGAAAAAAAATTCAAATGGGGCGCTTTAATGGCACAGTCATTGACATCAATGCATCAGCACTCAATACTGGTGATGTCTCAAACTGCAATGTATTTTTGCTGGCACAGGTTGTAATATAGTGTCATAATCATATAACAAAGGCAAATTAAAGCCTTAGAAACTTTAAAGAAAGGCAATTTCCCTGAACCGGGAAAAATACTGGGGAAGCAGCTGTTTCTCAATCTGATATCTTTGATTATAGGACAAACCTTTTATCAGTGGTTTTTATGGATAGCAATCTGCTACTCCGTTAAATCAACTACATTCTGAAAACTTCTCTAAAAGGAAAGAAGCAACACCATCAATCAAATCCCTTCCACCTACTTATTACAACTCGGCATTCTATTTCCAGCGTGCCCATCTTCCGACAGGCTTTGGAAAGCTGCTCAAAAGCAACATTCACCACCCGTGGACATTATGAACTTTGGCTGGAAAATAATTGATTACTGTCCTGTGCCTGTCTTCAGTCTGGTCCTGTGCTCCCTCCGCACTTCTGGTTATCGCGTGAAACTGCCGAACTCAACATTTGTTCATATGAGATACTTTACTGCTGGTATATCAAGCAGCAGTAACTGCCACTGCTCGGCTACTGAGACGTGTAATAACTTTAATATTACCAGTGGAAGAGGAAGAAAATGATGATGAGAGCCACTATCAAGACTCATTTTAACTACATTCGGTTTACAATAATGATCTTCACGAAGCTAAGTTAGGTTCCCTATCATTATTATCTCAGTCAACTTATGTTTCAAGTACTTAATACGCATTTCATGCTTTTTTTATTTACTTGATAACCAACTTAGACGTAATGTATTTTTCATTTACAGTATCCTCATAACAATCATTTTCAATAAGTCTTTAAATCATCAAGTACTACAATATTACATTACCTACTACATTACTACTTCATTACAACTTAACAGGTGGTGATATCTTTCTTGAAGAACAAGTTAGTTATCTGAGAACAAGCTACAGTTATCTCAAAACAAGTTAGATATCTATGTATTTCCGGTTATTTTTCTTTATAATAGAAGGATTTTGGGTAATTCACTTGAAAACATCAAATACTGAAGAATTTGTTACAATACTGTAGCAGCAACAGTTTACAACACACAATACCGTGACAGAAAAATTCACAACCCACATTACCATGGCTGCAGCAGTTCACATCCCACAATACACTGACTGAACCACTCACACGCGCATTACCATGGTTGCAACAACTCACAACCCACATTACCGTGGTTGCAACAACTCACAATCCACATTACTGTGGTTGCAACAACCCAAAACCCACATTACCATGGTTGCAACAACTCACAACCCACATTACCGTGATTGCAACAACTCACAACCCGCGACGGGCTGGAGTTTTGAGACTCTATGACCGCGGGTTCAATCCCGGCCGGGGGTATGGTTTACTCACAACCCACATTACCATGGTTGCAACAACTCGCAACCCACATTACCGTGGTTGCAACAACTCAAAACTCACATTACTGTGATTGCAACAATTCACAACTCCCAAGTCACAACTAAGGCATAAACTGAAAATGAAAACTGGATGACGTTTAGGTCCCTTCTGGAGTGTCACTCGCGGCTTGATACTGTCCCAGGTTGGACCCAAACATCGACCAGTTATAATTTACAGTTTGCCTTTTTTAGATAAGTGTAAAGAATAAAAATGCACAATACCGTGACTGGAACAATACACAAATAGCCTGCACATAGGAAAAAGAAAGTTTCGATGACGTTTCGGTCCGACTTGAACCAGTGAGTGATTAGCGGGTTATTTGTGTATTAGTGACGTATATATCTATACCTCGAATTAGGTGAGCAAATTATCGTATTCATGTGGAAGCTGTAAGTTCGTATGGGTCAGTCAGCGCCTCAGGTTTGACCCGAGGAAAGGGAGGGTAGCTCTGAGTCCTTTGATCAAGATACCTTCAACAGTATCAAGGTACCTCTCCCCCTTCATCCTTGAGAGAGAGTAAATCACCTTGTTACAGAGCAAGCATTTGTGGGAGGTATATAGTTAGCGTTACCTTTGACCAGTTGTTGGGGAGGTAAGCAGACAGTTATTACCGTTGACGAGTTGTTGGGAGATGAACAGTCAGTATTACGGTTGATCAGTTATTGGGAGGTAAACAGTCAGCATTACCTTTGACCAGTGGTTCTGTGACTGGGAGGCCGAAGATGGGTCCTTGAGGGAGGTAGGGGCAGGTCGTGCCTGTGGCTGCTACTCTGAAGGTCATAGCGATGGCATCCTCCGCCGCTTGCTGCCTCTTCAGCGCCACCTGCCGGAGTACAGTATTCCATTACCAACACTAAGGAACACCAGTGTTTATATTAAAGATTACGATTATAACACTTTCATATTATTAAAATTAGAGGAAATGCAATGACTTCTATTTACTGAGTGAAGTCTATAACATCTAGGGTAGAAATACCATCGTCTCCACAATACTGTCCAAGACTCAAAGAAGAGAAGATATCTTATCCGATATGACTTAGTTAAACGAAACTTTCATGAGTGATGTCATTCAGACAAATAATACTTGATTTTAAATGTTCAATTTACGCTTTCAAGTGTATTTAGTGAAGTAATAACAAGGTCATTGATCCAGATGACTCCCAGCCACAAACTTGTGGGTTTGCACGTCTGCACCCCTCAAGGAAGGTTCCTTGATGTTGGTGAGGGGCTCTTGATTTAGGGAATTGAATCTGTGCTCCAGTTCCCCGAATTAAGCCGATGCCTTCCACATCCCCCAGGCGCGTATAATCGCCGGTTAGCGCTTCCCCTTTGATTATAATAATAATGCACGTCTGCAAGAATCTCTGATTTCATTGTAAATTATTTTATATTTCTTAAATCTATTTCGGTTATGTAGCAGTACACAACCAGCATTTCTGCTACAGAAATGCTCGGGTCCAAGGGCATCTCAAGTTAACAGACATTCTATATACTTCAGGTACCTGGCTATCGATCCTGTTTTCAGGACATCCTAAGAAGTTAGTATAGCACATATTAGTCCTTCTTCATCCTTTTTCCCACGACCTAGTGCATAAAATCAACACTCTAGCTCCCCCCCTCCTTCCCATTCCTCGTTTAGTCTTAAAAAAACTATCATTATTAACCTAAAAACGCTTTTTTTTTTTTATAAAAGGCACTAAATACAAGTAATACAGTATACAATGAAAATGATAAATAACTTTATGATTACCGTGATTACTTGTGGCAGTGTTGTGATCTATACTTTAAAGCCAACTCAGTGCCTTTGATAGTATGGGCTTGAATAGCAATTTAAAAATAAACACGCTTACTTGAAATTCAACCTACAAAAAGAATAATTTAAATAAATAATACAAATATGGAAAATTCATAAAATAAATTTATACCGTATTTATAATTCGGGGATTTTTATGCAACATACATGTAATTCTTTTTAAAAATTCCGAAATTTTTTGAATATCCTAAGTTTTAATGGAATCAATTATTTTTACTCTTATGTTTATTTTCTGCGGTAGCGAGTTTTAACATATTTATTCAATAAAAACCTATTTTTAGCAAATATTATTTAAGTTTTATCAATTTTCTGACATTAATGTTTTATTTAATTAGTTTTCCCTTACCTCGTAAAATTGCAAACCCTGCCGAAATATTGTTTCCCCCTGCAAGTGGTTACTACATAAAATCGATATTTAAGGGAGAAAAAAAACCCCCTTAATTTCAATTAGAAAATCACTTAAATTTGTAATAGTTTTTATTTATACATATAAAAAAAACACTCACGTTAAGGGGATGGAAGAAAGAAGGCAAATAATTTCTAGTAAAAGTGAAGCTTTAGCCAAGGCTGTGTAATTGTCGCCATGTTTGTTTAATGTGTTTATAGATGGAGTTGTAAGATAAGTGAATGCTGGTGTTAGTAAAAGATGTGGTCTTAAAAGATAACGAATCAAATATAAAGTGGAACTTGTCACAATTGCTATTTGCACATGACACAGTGCTAATGGGAGGTTCTGAAGAGAACCTTCAAAAGTTGGTGAATGATTGTGGAAGTGTGTGTGTATGAAACTGAAAATGAAAGCAGTAAAGAATAAGGCGATGAGAATGAGAATAATTCGAAGAGTACGGAGCGAAAAGTGGATTATTGCTAGATATAAATGAAATTACAGATGAGAGAAAGAAAGTTGTTGAACAATCCGTGGAAAGAAATATTTACGAATTAATGAAAGGAAACCAATTTATTACAACAGAGTAGTCACGATTTTGCATGTGAGGTATAGTCTTTGAAAAGGAGTTATTAAATTAAAACATGATGCTGCTGAGTGAGAAGAGCGAATGACAAGTGTTTAGATGGTTTGGCCATATAGAAAGTATGAAGAAAGACAGGTTTATTAGGAAGGCGTATATGTCTAAAAGCAATTCATTTATTTGCCATACTTGTGTAAACTGTGGTTATATTTGATTTAGATGTGTACGTACTCGTTTTCATCTCAGATGTACAGTCTTCCTTGATTTCAATATATTTTTAATATACACCTGTTAAGGTTAAACTATGAGTCAATTTCTTAGCATTCTTGCAGTCATCTTCCACTTATTTTCGCCTCATCAGCTTCTTGTTATCTGTAAATATCGGCAATGTACGGGTTTTGTGGTCCTGGTAATCATTCGCATTGTCCCAGATCATTTTAGATCCAAGAACCGACCCTTCAATGGCTCGATTTCTTACTTTTTTTCAATTGCTGACCTTTCCTTCACCATTACTTCTGTCCTTATCAATCTTTTATGTCTTTGAGGGTCAGAGCCAAAGTCTTTCTAGAAGTCTAAGAATATGCAGTCCACCCACCCGTCTTTGTTCTGCCTTATACATATTCCCCCATTAAAAAATTAAATTGTTTGTGCTAAACTCAAAAACAAGTTTGAAAACGGAAATCGTGACATGGCGTCTTATATTCACGTTGAGTTGTATGCCTATCAGTGTATATGCACAGTTGTATGCCTATCAGTGTATATGCACAGTTGTATGCCTATCAGTGTATATGCATAGTTGTATGCCTATCAGTGTATATGTACTGAAAATTTACTTCCGTCCCTAATTTTGGGGGTTAAATTATTCTTAATGTTAATGTAAGACGCGAGTTGGAAATTGTGAACATTCAAAGTTACTTAATGTTAAAAATGTTATTCAAACGATGATATTTTTTGTTCTAGTCTGCGTTCTTGGCGATAAAATAAAAAAAAAAACACACACACTTAAGAAAAACGAAGATAAATTAACAAACAATAAAACCAGTTATCGTGAATAAAATAGTATACTATCACACCAAATTAAAATAACCAGCATCAGTTTAAAATCTCATTACAGTGGTAATGTCAAATAACTCCTAAAAGTTTCCCGAGGTACCTAGAAGCACTCAGGGTAATTATAAAAAGCACGATTAAAAAACGAAAAGGTCCAAGTCGTGAGCAAACAGTTCAAATGTGTTCCACAGTCAGCTACCCATGATGACGAACATCAGTATGACCGAGTCCCGAAACCTCGTCTCATCCTCAGTGCCATGCTAAGACTACGTTAGATTTTATTCGGCGTATGATTACGAGGTGGCGGAAGAAATGCAGTGTTTAGTGTCACTGTTATGAGAATTTTTTTTTTTTTAGGACAGTGAGCTTTTCTAAATATATTATATCTAATATGATTATATATTTTTTAACTTTCCTAGTCTTTCATAATATATATAAATTCTGAATAAAGACTACGTATTTTGGTGCAAGCTTCTTTTTTCCTCTCAAAATATAGACCATGCAAAGATCTAAGCTAAAGAAAAAGCGCAGAAAAAAAAATCAAATTGTACCTCTGGCACATCTTATGCTGGAGTGTTACCATACCTGTATAGAAAACTCACTTGAGCATAACCCATCGTATATTTATATATGTCGTGCCGAACACGTAAAACTTGCGATTTTGGCTTAAATAGCAACGCTCCTCTTGCCGAATAAGACAAGCGAAAATTTGTGTATGCAGTAATTTCGCAAAAATCTTTCTGAACCCAACAAAAAATATATATTTCATTGTGTTTGTTTATTATTAAATTATTGTAAACTTATCTAAAATATATTTAGTTGGATTAGGCTAAATTAAATTGCGCTTGTTATAATAAGGTTAGGTAAGTTATCTAAGATTCTTTTCGTACAAAATTATTAATTTTTACATGAACATAGATAAAAAAAATATAACTTTAAACGTATAAGAGAAAATTTTAGGACTTAATTTTAAATGAGTTCTTGCTAAGTGACCTGTTTTACCTATTAGGCACGACATATATACTATACATATATATATATATATATATATAATATATATATATAAAATATATATATATATATATATATATATATATATATATATATATATATATACATATATATAAATATGTATGTTATGTGTGTGTGTGTGTGTGTGTGGTGGGGTGGGGCTTTATGTGTTATTCTGCAAACTTGACAAAGTTTGTATAACAAAAATCTTCCTGTAAATTAAATTCGATAAAGGTTATTAATTGTTTTTATTCTATTTTCTATGATTATTACATTTAAAAGGAAGCGTTAAGCTCGCATGGGTCATACATCGCCTGGGAAATGATTGGTAATCAGGTTCGATCCAGAGAAAGGAAGGATAGATTTAATTCAAAGTATCGAGAGCACCTCACCGATATCAAGAATACTCTCCTGAGGACTGATAAAGATTTTAAGAACGAATCATAACATCCTTCAGCCTTCATTTCGTTTGTAGATTAATTACAGTGTATTATTCCACGGCATTGTGACTTATTCTTCTAAGGGGGAACATATACTATTTTAAACAAGGTTTCGCCTTACAATGTTTTATCAGATGTAAGTGATACATACTCACGTCTCGTTGCTTATAAAGGGAAGAACAAGAAGTTAAGCTTGAGAAGTACATCTTGTGTATCACAATGTTCATCATTCCCAGTAAGTTGAAACGTGGTAAAAAAAAAAAAAAAAAAAAAGATACACTTGTCTTTTCATCACTCGTCGACCGTATATAATAAAGTAAAGGTTATTATCTGCTGATGTTTCCACTATATCATCCTCAGCAATTGGCTGTTCCCTATATGTACTCCTTCAGGATGAAAAGAAGTTGGGAACTCCTGGATTATAATATAATGTTTCTGCAATAATATAGATTAATATTCAGTTTCAGCACATTTTAATTTTAAAATGTCACATTGTTGTTTATGAAAGGTCTGTGACATCGTGACGACAGAGACTGCAAGA